TCTGAGCTGATATCTTAATTCGCATCGACCACAAATAACTTTGGATGCTGTAACTGTGCCAGCTGTGACTCCTGATAGTGAACTGAGATCAACAACAGCTCCTGCAATCGTCAACGATCCACAGTCGAGATTACCTGCTACAGCCAATGAACTGAAGACTCCAGTCCCACCGAGTTTCTGGTATCTCTTGCCAGCGGTGGCGATGATCAAGTAATCATTTGATCCAAGGAATAAAGAGCTATTGAAGACTGAACTATTGGTTGTTGGTGGAAGAGAAGACATTTTGATTACTTGTATATACAATCACAGAAATATGATTAACTTCTATGAAACGATAGATAAAAAAGCTCAAGATATATCCAAATAATGACCATTTTGAATTACCTTTCAGGCTCTGCATAGCAAGTCCATCGGGCAGTGGAAAATCCAGCACCATCCTCTATATCATCGCTCTGCTTAGCAAATGCTTTACAAAGATCGTCATCTGCACGAAAACGAATGAGACGCTCTACGATCATTTTAAGGATACCATCGATGACGTCGAGATTTTGAAAATGGAGTAGTTCCAGCAATGAGCGATTATGACATTGAGACAAGCAAACTCGTTATATTTGATAATTTAGTGCTCGAACCAAAGAAGACTCAAGCTCAAATCGGTCAATACTTCATCAGAGGCCAAAAACAAGGATCGAGTATGATCTACATTAGTCAGAGCTACTTTGGTATTCCACAGACGATTCGCATCAACAGCCAATATGTGGTTCTCAGCCGTAATTTGACCCAACGAGATCTTGCAATTATTTGCCGCGACTTTCCAAGTGATATGCCAGTCAAAGAATTTATTGATCTCTAGAAGCGAGTAACATCTGAGAAGATGAGCACTATGTTAATGGACATCATCGAAAGCAAGATCTATCGCAATGTCATCGAGTATATCTGCGAAAGGTAATCACATCGTCGAGTCATATTTTTTTGTCTCATTGGCAAACGAATACACACGTTAGGATCGATAATCTGCAACGGACGCATGTCTTGATCATAGAAGCTCAACGTGATCTCGTTATTGGTTCCTTGTATCGGACAATATGCAATACCTTTACCTTGTGACGTGGTAATAAGTCCGCCGAATCCTACTTCAGCGCTTGTGAAGGTGTGGAGAGCTTGATTGTTGCTTGCAATTGGGTTATAAAGATCAGACAGCCCTAGAATTACAGCAGCGACAGGAGGTGTGGCGTTGCTATTGATGGCGTAAGCGCTCGTAGTTTGAGCAGCAGGATAGACACCATTGGATAGCCCAACGATAGCTCCAAATCTAGAGTTATCAATCTGAAGTTGAGGAGTGTATGCAGTGATGCAGCTGACATTGTTGGGAGGCCGCTTGCTGCTGTGTATCCAGTGACATTCTTTACAGGCAGCATCGTGAGCTGAATCGCATACGCGGATGGATTCTCAGCACACGAGATGAAGTAGTAGTATTCACCGGTCGTGTTGTTGGTCAGATACAAGTTGTTTTGATTGTTGACGTTCAACAAAACTGGAAATGACATTTTGATTTGCTTATATATACACAAGTGAAGAAATTGCATCGACGTAAAAGAATTCGCAGGGAGATGATGCCACAACCAATGGATATTGACGGTGATGGTGTCACCTGCGGAACTGTCAAGCCGCTTGGACCCTCCAAGACAGACCATGGCTCCACAAACATTGAGACTCTGACGAAGCAACTGGATAAGGTAAGTGTTAGCCAACTCGCCAAGGAGCAAAAAAGGCAAAGAAGCCCAAATATGTAATTTGACCCAACGAGATCTTGCAATTATTTGCCGCGACTTTCCAAGTGATATGCCAGTCAAAGAATTTATTGATCTCTAGAAGCGAGTAACATCTGAGAAGATGAGCACTATGTTAATGGACATCATCGAAAGCAAGATCTATCGCAATGTCATCGAGTATATCTGCGAAAGGTAATCACATCGTCGAGTCATATTTTTTTGTCTCATTGGCAAACGAATACACACGTTAGGATCGATAATCTGCAACGGACGCATGTCTTGATCATAGAAGCTCAACGTGATCTCGTTATTGGTTCCTTGCATCGGCCAATATGCAATACCTTTACCTTGTGACGTGGTAATAAGTCCGCCGAATCCTACTTCAGCGCTTGTGAAGGTGTGGAGAACTTGATTGTTGCTTGCAATTGGGTTATAAAGATCAGACAGCCCTAGAATTACAGCAGCGACAGGAGGTGTGGCGTTGCTATTGATGGCGTAAGCGCTCGTAGTTTGAGCAGCAGGATAGACACCATTGGATAGCCCAACGATAGCTCCAAATCTAGAGTTATCAATTTGAAGCTGAGGACTGTATGCAGTGGCTAGCATTGTTGGGAAGCCGCTTGCTGCTGTGTATCCAGTGACATTCTTTACATACAGTATCATGAGCTGAATCGCATACGCGAATGGATTCTCAGCACACGAGACGAAGTAGTAGTATTCACCGGTCGTGTTGTTGGTCAGATACAAGTTGTTTTGATTGTTGACGTTCAACAAAACTGGAAATGACATTTTGATTTGCTTATATATACACAAGTGAAGAAATTGCATCGACGTAAAAGAATTCGCAGGGAGATGATGCCACAACCAATGGATATTGACGGTG